TTTTGATGATTTGGTGTACATATACATTGTGAAGTGATTCCACCATTTAGGTAGTTAACAGATCCATCACATCGCATATTTCTCTTTTAAAATTTTCTCGGTAAGAAAATTTAAGTTCTTCTTTGCTAGCAAATTTCAATTTTATAATATAGCATTATCAACTATAGTCACCATGTTATACATTTGATCCTCAGACTTCATTTATCTTATAGCTGAGAGTTTGTACTCTTTTCGTAGCCTTTTTACCAGCCTCTACCTATTTTACCCATCCACTATCCCTGGCAACCTCACCCACCTTCCCTCTAACTTTTTCAACTTTTTCTCCACATTCTTGCCCACACTTTTTATCTCTTTCCTTTTTGATAGCAGCCATTCTAACAGGTGTGAGGGAATAGCTCAGTGTGGTTTTGATTTACATTTACCTGGTGATTATTAGTGATGTTGAGAACCTTTTCATATACTTATTAGCTATTTGCATGTCTTCTTTGGGAAAATGTATGTTCAGTTCCTCTGCGCATTTTTGAATCAGGTTGTTTGTTTGCTATTGAGTTGTATGAGTTCTTTATGTAATTTGGATATTAACTCCTTAGAAGATATATGATTTGCAAATATTTTCTTCCATCTGTAGGTTGACTTTTCATTTTGTTGATTGTTTCCTTTGCTGTGCAGAAGTTTTTAGTTTGATACAGCCCCACTGGTTTATTTTTGTTTTTCGTATCTTTGCTTTGGTATCAAATCTAAAAAATCATTGCCAAGACCAATGTCAAGAAGAATGTTTTCTTCTTGGAGGACAGTTTTATAGAGTTTCAGGTCTTACATTCAGGTCTTTAATCCATTTTGAGTTGATTTTTCTGTGTGATGTAATATAGGTGTACAGTTGTTATTTTTTATTGGTTTTATTGAGCTTTATAGCTTCTATTATTGAAATAATAAAATAAATACCCAAGTAATAAATACCTTAGAAATAAGTATAAGATACAGAATAGGAAAAATAATATACTCCTTTACTTGCCTAGGCTTTAATAATCTTGTAGTTATCTTTCAAGATGACTATAATTTCAGTTCATCAAGAAAGGGTAGGTTGAAAATATATTTCATGAACTCTCTTCTCTGAGACACGAAAACCAAGAATACATTGATGCTGGCCTCCCCTACTTGGTAATTGAGGATTGCGGCTTTAGATTTCCCTGTAAGTGCTCTCACTTTGTTCCACCTTACTTCTGTTCTAGCAGTTACCTCCTCCTGGAGCACTCCTTACTCACCAATGTCTAAATCATAGGTATTCTCCACTGTCTAGTTCATAAGTCACCTCACTCTCCAAACTTTGCTTAGCACATCTTTCCTCTTAGAACTACCACCACTCAAGGTCTTGGTCTGTGCTTCAAGCAAGTCATTTCCCAAATCTTGATCCCCAAGACCTGTTCTCCTTTCTATGAATTCCACATTTTTTTGTTCTTTTTAAAATTCTAGTTAGTTAACATATACTGCAATATTGGTTTCAGGAGTAGAATTCAGTGATTAATCACTTACATACATTACCCAGTGCTTATGACAATAAGTGCCCTCCTTAAACCCATCACCCATCTAGCCATTTCCCACCCACGTCCCTCCAACAACCCTCAACCCTCAATTTGTTTTCTATTGTTAAGAGTCTCTGAAGGTTTGTTTCCCTCTCTCTCTTTTTTCCCCTTATTCAGTCCTTCCCATATATTCATCCATTTTGTTTCTTAAATGACACATATGAGGCAATATGAAATCATAAGGTATTTGTTTTTCTCTGACTTATTTCTCTTAACATAATTTACTCTAGCTCCATCCATGTCATTGAAAATGGCAAGCATTCACTCTTTGTTTTCTAAGATTTTATTTATTCATTCATGAGAGATACAGAGAGAGAGGCAGAGTCATAGGCAGAGACAGAAGTAGGCTCCCCTCAGGATCCCAGGATCATGACCTGAGCGAAAGGCATATGTTCAACCACTGAGCCACCCAGGTGCCCCAAGAGTTCTTTCTTTTTGATGGCTGAGAAATATTCAATTCCATTCCATATATATATATATATATATATATATATATATATATATATATATGAATATATATGGAATTTCATATATATATGAAATGGAATGGATATATATACATATATATGTATATATGTATATATATGTATATATATCCTCTTCTTTATCCATTAGTTCATAATTATTGCATAGAAACACAACTGATTTTTGTGTATTGTGTTTTCTGCAATTTTTCTTAATTTCTTTCTTTAATTAATTAATTAGTTTCTAACAGTTTTTGGTGGAGTCATTAGGGTTTCCTATATATAATAGCATATTACCTGCAAATAGAAACAGTTTTACTTCTTCCTTTCTGATTTGGATGCTTTTCATTTCTTTTTCCTGTCTAGCTGCTCTGGCTAGGACTTCTAGTACTATGTTGAATAAAAGTGGTTGGAATGGGCATCCTTGTCTTCTTCCTTATATCAGAGGAAAATCTTCCAGCTTTTCAATATAAAATGTGATCTTAGCTGTGAACTTGTATATATGGCCTTGATTATATTGAGGTGTGTTCCCTCTACACCCACTCTGTTGAGAGTTTTTACTTTGAATGAATATTTGATTTTGCCAAATACTTTTTCTGTATGAACATTGAGATGTTCATATGATCTTTATCCTTCATTTTGTTAATGGGATGTGCACATTGATTGATTTGAGGATGTTGAACTAACCTTGCATCCCTGGAAACCCACTTGATTGTGGTATATGATCCTTTAATGTATTCTTTAATTCAGTTTGCTAATGTTTTACTGAGGGTTTTTTTTTTTTTTTTTGGCTTGTTTGTTGTTGTTGTTTTACCTTTATGTTTATCAGGGATATTGGCCTATAATAGTCTTTTCTTGTTGTATCCTTGTATGGTTTTGTTATCAGGGTAATGCTGGCCTGATAAAATGAGTTTGGAAGTGTTTCTTCCTCCTCAATTTTTGGGAAGAGTTTGAGAAATATTAGTATTAATTATTCTATAATGTTTGGTAGAATTCATAAGTAAAGCCATCTAGTTCTGGAATTCTGGAATTTTCTTTGTTGCGAGCTTTATGATGATTGATTCAATGTTCTTACTGGTAAGGTAACTCTTACATCATTCTTTTGAGTAGTATTTTCAGAGTATATATATTCCCATCCTTTTACTTTTAGCCTATCTCTATCTCCATCTCTATTTCTATATTTAAAGTGGATTTCTTGTAGACAGCACATAGCTGGATCCTTTCTTTTTTAAAAAAATAAATCCAATCTGACATCTATGTCTTCAATTTTAGTGTTCAGATCATTACATTTAATGTAATTATTAATACTACTTGATTTATATCTACCATCCTATTTATTTTGTATTTATCTCATCTAATTTCTTCCCTTTTTCTTTTAAAAAAATATTGTTTAATCTCCACTAATTGGCTGGTTTAATATTACTTTCTTTAGCTGTTGCATTAAGTTTTTTAGGATATATGTTTAACTTATCATAGTCTGCAAATTATACAAAAACATTCCTCCCTATCTTTTATACTCTTATTGTCATACATTTTAATTCTATATGTTTTATAAACTACATTATAATAAATATAAACATAAATAATTATCTTTTAAAGAGATTAAAAGTGAGATAAATGTGTCTTTTATATTTGTCCATATATTTGCCATTTCTGGCACTCATCATTTCTTGATGTAGGTCCAAGTTTCTATCTGATATCATTTTTCTCTGGCTAAAGAATTTCTTTTACATTTAGTTTTGTATTGTCCTACTAGTGATTAATTCTCTCAGCTTTTGTTCATTTGAAGAAGTCTGTGTTTCATTTTTAAAATATATTTTTTTGCTGAGTTTAAAATTGTAGGTTGACAGTTTCTTTCAGTACTTTAAAGTGGTCTTTTCATTGTCTTCTGGTTTGAATGGCTTCTGATAAGAAATTGGCTCTTTCTCTTTGTTCTTCTGAATACAATGTATCTTTTTCCACTGGGCATTTAAGATTTTCTTTTTATCACTAGTTTTCAGCAGTTTCACTGTGATTTACTTTAGTTTGATTTTATGTTTCTTTTACTTGAATTTATTGATATTCTTGGATTAGTTGGTTTATAGTTTCATCATCTGGGTGCATTTCAGGCTTTATTTCTTCAAATATTTTTGTGTCCCAGACCTTCCTTCTAGGAGTCTGATTATACACATAGGTTAGATTGCTTGCTATTGTCCCACAGGTTACTGATGCTCTTTTTGTTTGTTTGTTTAGGTTTGTTTTTTCATGAATGGACTTTATTTTTTAGGGCAGTTTTAGGTTCATAGCAAAATTGAGTGGAAGATGGAGAGATTTTTCCAAATACCTCATGTCCTCACATGTGAATACCCTCCCCATTATGAACATCCCCCACTAGAGTGGTACATTTGTTATATAATCAGTGAACCTGTATTGACACATCATTATCACTCAGCGTCCATAGTTTACATGAGGGTTCATTCTTGGCGTTCTACATTGTTTAGGTTTGGACAAATGTATAATGACATATATCACTATTTAGGGTAGATTCATTGCCCTAAGAATCCTCTGAGCTCTCCCTATTCATCCCTCCCTAAACCTAACTCCTGGCAACTAGGTTTTTTATAGTCTCCATAGTTTTGCCTTTTCTGGAATGTCATATAGTTGGAATCATGCATTATGTAGTTTCAGATGGGCTTCTTTCACTTAGTAATCTGCATTTAAGTTCTTTCCATGTTTTTTCATGGCTTGACAGCTCATACCTTTTAAGTGCTGAAAAATGTATCAGTTTATTCATCCATTCACCTACTAAAGCACATCTTATTTTCAAGGTTTGGCAATTATGAATAAAGCTGCAGTATTCATTAGTGGGCAGGATTTTTTTATAGACCTAAGTTTTCATCCCATTGGGTAAATACCAAGGAGCATAATTGCTGGTCATATGTTTAGTTTTGTAAGAAACCTTCAACCTGTCTTTCAGAGTGGCTGTATCACTTTGCATTTCTACCAGCAATAAATGAGAATTCCTGTTGCTCCACTTCCTCACCAGCATTTGGTATTGTCGGTGTTCTGTATTTCAGACATTCTCATAGGTATGTATCTCATTGTTATTGTAATTTGCATTTTCCTAATAACATATCATGGGAAACATTTTTTCTCACATGTTTATTTGATATCTTATTTAGCAAGGTGTCTATTTAGATCTTTGACCAATTTTTAAATTGGGTTGTGTTCTTATTATTTTTAAGAGTTTTTTGTACATTTTAGGTAACAGTCTTCCATCTGATATGTCTTTGTAAGTATTTTCTCCTAGTCTGTTGCTATGTTTCTGTATATATTTATAACTGATTTATTTTTCTACTGAGTATGGGTAATAATATCTCACTCCTTTGCATGCTTAATACATTTGCAGGAGCCAGATGTTGTGAATTTACTATTGAGTACTGGGTTTTATGCTTGGTTACTGGGTTTTGTTGCATTTCTTTAGAGTATTGGACTTGTTTCAGTGTGCAGCTAAATAAATTGGCTTGGCCTTCAAGCCTTGTTATTGTAGACCTCTACTTTGGAAATAATTGGGCACTACTACAAATTCATGAAAATTCTTTCAGAGATCACAATTCTGCACTGCATTTTATGCAATATCTGAAAGCCACATTTTATATATTTTGCCTTGATTTTTGGTTGTCTGCAGTGGGAAGGCATAATCTTTCATGGGTGGAGTTAGAGATCCTATTATTTATTATTGTTAGAAGAAAAACTTCTTTTAGTTTACAACTCACTATTAAACTTGATATTAATAATGTTCTAAATTTTTTCAATGTTTATTTTATTTATTTATTTTTAAAGATTTTATTTATTTATTCATAGAGATGCAGAGAGAGAGAGAGAGAGAGAGAGAGGCAGAGACACAGGCAGATGGAGAAGCAGGCTCCATGCAGAGAGCCTGACGTGGGACTCGATCCCGGGTCTCCAGGATCACGCCCTGGGCTGCAGGCGGTGCTAAACCGCTGCACCACTGGGGCTGCCCTATTTTATTTATTTATTTGAGAGAGAGAGAGCAGAGTAAGGGGTAGAGGGAGAGGATCTCAATCAGACTCTGCACTGAGTCCAATGTGGGGCTCAATCCCAGAACCCTGAAATCATTACCAGAGCAGAAACCAAGAGTCAGATGCTTAACGAACTTAGTCACCCAGGCACCCCTGTTCTTGTAAATTTTTAATATTGTTGTCTAATGTGAGAACACTTCTCTCAATTGTCTTTTGGCCTTAGCTACATACTTTCAGTACCAGGCATCATCAGATAGATTCATACCATAGTAGGACCTCTGGACTCATCACTGTATCATGGTTATGGATGAATCATTCACAGTGCAATAGGAGTATTGTTAAAAGCCAGTTCTGGGGCAGCCCCAGTGGCCCAGTGGTTTAGTACCACCTTCAGCCCAGGGTGTGATCCTGGAGACTCAGGATCAAGTCTCACACCAGGCTCCCTGCATGGAGCCTGCTTCTCCCTCTGCCTGTGTCTCTGCCTCTCTCTCTGTGTCTGTCATGAATAAATAAATAAAATCTTTAAAAAAAAAGCCAGTTCTGAACTTGCTTGGCTAGTTATAATCTACTTATACATAAAACTCTGCAGACCACGTATGCCTATCCCACTAAATCCAAGCTACACAAATCCCTAATCTAGTCTCCTCTTAGCTGGATCCCAAGGAACATGTGGCTACTCTGACACCTAACATGAGGAAAGGTGATGCAGAAGTCATAATAAAAAGAAATACTGGTCTTAACCAATTATAGTTAATGTATTTTACTTCAAAAATTGTACAAAAGTATGTGATTGTTAGTCATTGCTGGAGGCCCTCTCAGTGCCTCAGAAGGGGACTGTGCAAAGGAGCCTTGGAGCTTGTGCTTTCTTAGCTTCACAGTAATCAGTCTCTGATTTTACCACCAGTGTTTTAAATGTGTGATCATTCCATATCACAGGTAGACCATGAGATTTTGGAATTATTCATTCAGAAGTATAATCTTGAACAGGAAAAAAATATTCTTTTTTTTAGGTACTAAAAATATGAATCAAGAAACATACTTTTGGTGTGACTCCTATCTCATAGTTACCTGATGCTGCCAAAACTAAGTTTCCCCAGACCCAGAGGAAAAAAATGGATTTACTAAAGATTTGGGTTGAAGAAAAAAATCTAGCCTTTTTGTGATACAGAATCTTAATGATTACAAAACAAAAACATGTGAGCAAAAGTCTAGGTTCAAAATGGAAAGTATTATTCTTACTTTTATATTTAGTAAATGGTATAGTTCTCATATGTTTGTTGTCTCATCTGTTTCCTCCAGTTGATCACTTAGAAATAATGAGGCTATAAATTTGACTTTCACAACTAGATTTGTTGCAATGTAGCTCAACAGTAATTGGGCTTTTATTAGTTTTTATTGCAAGTATTCTATTTTTAATAACATCGACACAAACTACATATTAATATTTTTCTCTTTTAGAAAATATTGAGAATGTCTTTTCATAAGGAAATGACTTCTTTTTAAAAAAAAAAAAACTTTATCAATATACTGACAGTCTTCAGATGTGGTAAAGCTAAGTTCCTCATAAAGAACAAAAGGAATTCTTTTGTACACTATATAGCAACACCCAGACTGTAGTAATGTCTGCCTGCTGTTAGGAAGTTTAGAATTCTTTTCCTGTTTTGAATGTTCATTCCTGTTTTGAACTGTTGATTAAGAGAACAGATTTATTGACAGACTTTTTCTTCTGGATTTTGGGTAACCAATGTTGGTTGGCTGTCTGCTATAAGCATAAGGGTGGAGGGTACAAATAAGCTAGTGACACCTTTGAGAATCATAATTAAATAGATGAAAAGATAAAATGCTGAGGTAGAGTTCAGAAAATGTCTCCAAGGCCTCAAGTAAAGACTCTAGAATTTAAGTTGGAGTTTGACAGTTGAATAGAATTTAAAGAAGGACATTCCATGAGGTAAGCAAAAACATTTAGTAAGCGTAAGGTAACAAGTAGGAATATGCAAGTCTCATTTAATTTTATTTAACTTAACCACATTTATCAAAAGTTTATTCTCTCCTGAGTATTTTACTAATTAAACAATACAAAGATAAATGAAGACTAGTCTTTACCCTCACAGAATCTGGAATACAGAGAATGACATGGACATAACTACTATTAGAAAATGGATTTCTGTGAATAAAATTTATATTCTAACATTTATTTATTTATTTGTTTGTTTATTTATTTATTTTTAAAGATTTTATTTATTTATTCATGAGAGACACAGACTGAGAGAGAGGCAGAGACACAGGCAGGAGGAGAAACAGACTCCATGCAGGGAGCCCAATGCGGGACTTGATCCCTTGCCTCCAGGATCACACCCTGGGCGAAGGCGGCACTAAACCACTGAGCCACCTGGGTTGCCATATAACTTTTATTTAAATGCCTGAGCAGCAGTCCTGGGAGCAGAAAGATCTGTTTAAAATTTAGCTGTGCCTCTTTCTAGCTATGTAACCCTAGGCGCATTTGAGTCTTAATTTAATGCATGTCTGTGTTCCATTGATTTGGCCAGTGTAATTGGAAGTTCTCCACCAGCAAACTCATTCCCAGCAGGTCAGAGAGCATTTCACTACCATCAGTATTATCAGATTACTGGAGCCTAGGCTAGCTTTCCTACTATAGGCTTCAGATTTTGTGCTCCATAAATTATCATGAGATCATACTAACCCAATACCAGATTATTGGATTCCAATAATTGGATTCTTGCTGTCTATAGGCATTGCTGTTCATGCCTCACCAGCTGAATTAAATTCCATTGGTTTACCTAATCTTAGAGCCACACCCATACTTTCTATTCAGGCTACATATAAGATCCAATTAGTCAATTCTGAATCCACAAATTCAGGGGGTTACCATATTTGTAGTCCCTAGTTATTAGCACAGTATAAGTTACTGTACTCTACACAGTAGAGTTAATGCTACAGATACAGTTTTTGATAGTTTCATCAAATCCATTCACCCAATAAATATTTATAGGGTGCCTTCTATGTGTAAGGCACACTTCTAATCACCAAGAATATAGTCAAAATACCTAGCTTTGCAGAGTTTACATTTTACTAGGAAAGACAGACCAAAAGAAAAAAAAGTAATAGATATTATGTTACATGGTGGCAAATATTATGAAGAAATTAAAGTAGGGGATTAGAAGGGGATTAGAAGTGCTTCAGAGTGGAGAGGACAGGCCTGCTGTTTAAGATTTGGTGTCAAAGAAGACCTCTCTGAAAAGGTGACATTTGAGCAAAGACCTATAGGAAGGAGAAAGTGAACTTTCAAGGTATGTGAGGAAGAGCTGTCCAGGCAGAGGGAGAAGCAAGTGCCAAGGTCCTGAGGCAAAATTACTTGGATATCAAGGAATAGCAAGAAATTAGTCTGGTAAGAGCACTTGGAAAAGGGGGAGTGGTTTGAGGAAAGGTTGGAAAGGAGGGGGCAGCGTGACAGATCTTAAAAGGTCTTATATGTTAAAGTAGGGATTTGGAGGATTTACTCTGAGTGAGATGCCTTTGGAAACAAAGGTTTAAATTTTTAAATTCAAATATCTTCAGACCAAATTGCCACAAGACTTGTGTCATATAATTAAGAAGACAAATTCTAATTTGAAGTATTTTTTGAATTTAGATGGATCATCCTATAATTCAGTGTTGGGAAAGACTTGCCAGGTAACATGGCCACATCTCTAGCTGCCAAACTTCTTAGAGCAGCTTGTACATTTTTCTGATTTCCACCTTTCACTTCTTTAAAATACTTGGCTGAAGTTTTTTTTTTTTTTAATAAATTAATTTTTATTTGGCTGAAGTTTTTAGCAAATCAGGACTGATACTTTTGTAAACCTATGTTATAATATTGATAGTTTTAAATTTTTTTAATTTTTATTTATTTATGATAGGCACACAGTGAGAGAGAGAGAGAGGCAGAGACACAGGCAGAGGGAGAAGCAGGCTCCATGCACCAGGAGCCCGACGTGGGACTCGATCCCAGGTCTCCAGGATCGCGCCCTGGGCCAAAGGCAGGCGCC